GGCCAAGTTGAAATACCCGGACACGCACACACACACATACACACGTACACACACACACACACACACACCGGGGTCGTCGCAATATGCATTTTCGCATCTGCATATTATGCAAAAACGCATAAAAATTAAAAGCCGATGCCGAGAGAGTTCGTGTTCAGACGGCCCCTTCATATATTTTCATAACAAGCTGCCCAAATGTCTAGTGTGCTAGGAATCCTTTTTCGCGTTGATTCTCAAGAAACTTCGGAATTACTAATAATTAACCCTCAGTAGGCAAGGGGCTGTTTTAAATAGTCGCTCTAATATACTCACTAGAATCGCATGCTACCCTCGGTTTTATCAAATGAATATGGAGTTGTGAGGGAAAAGGGCGAGGAATCTAAATTTTTGAAAATGTAGCCATTATTACAATATCAGTGAGTGCCAGCAGCTCGTCTTAACTACTTCCAGTGCTATTTGTTTCAGGGTATGCTAACATTTTTTGGCTATTTTATAGTTATTATAGTCATTAATCCGTTAATACTCGCAATCACTGCGCCACTCATTTTGGTGTTCATTTTCCTGCGCAGTTTCTACTTATCAACATCTCGAGATGTAAAACGTCTGGAAGCAACCAGTAACTTTTTTTAATTAATTTTTGATTAAATTTAATCAAGAGGTGAGCAGGCAAAAGCTGAAAACACAAGTTTTTTTTAAAATATTTAAAATACCTATTGCGTAATTCAAAGGTTTACCATGTGTGTTCATGTGATTTTCCAAGTAGTCACATTGTTTCTCGTTCGCGAATTGAAGACTGTAGTTAGGGCACGAAAACGGAGCCCAAGAGCTCAGAAAAACATTAATAGCCCAGCTGCTTTTCATGCTCCTTTCGGTGCTGTTGAAACCAGCTTTTTCATTAAAACTTAATCTCTGACTTACTTCCCTCTATCTGGAGTACCTGATCAATCAATAGCCTGATTTCTGCTCTTTGTAGCTTGCAATTTTCCATTTGCTTTGACGAATGCTTTCATCTTGGCGATTTATCCTTCGCTTTATCTCTTGAATGGCTTATTAGCTCAGCGAGTTTTCCCAAAAACAACCCTTAGCTGGTTTGAGATATCCTTGGTGTGTAATAAGCATCATCATGTCTTCTAAAACCTTATCACTTTTTGACCACGATGAGAAGCCTCATCAACTGTGACGTATGTTTCCTTTTCATCCATGAAAATCATAGTGGTGGTATATATAAAATGTAAAAATTAATCAGCGGAACAGGAGTGTTTTGGCCCATATATTCTGTTCGGCACCGCTGAACCTCATCAGTGCGACGACTATATTGACTGTTTAAAAACTGCTTAAAATATATATATATATATACATATATATATGCATAATGAGGAAATATATAAACCCAGGCTGGAACGCACCAGGCGGGCCGGAGCGATTATGCGTTTTTGCACTTTCGTAC